CAGTATTTTTGGCTATAAACTAGACTCATTTTTCATGTGCTTCTCCTCCACCCCTTGTCCAGGTTAGTCTAGTCTGAAGACAAGCTTGCTCTCTGTTTTTTGGTATGGGCTTAATTTCCACTATTTCATATTTAAAATAGTAAATTATGAATACAGCACCCTCTATTTCCACAGCTTCTGAAGGCCCTTTTAATGATACATTAAAGCAGCAACTTGGCAGCAACACAGAAAAATGGGGAGAGACGCCAGATCTGCACAGGAGCTTCTGGAAATTCCCTGTGATCCAAGCCTGCTGTCTCAGGCTAGCCCTTGCTCTCACTCTTGCATACACTGGGGACTGAAATGAACACTAATCTGGCAGCTGTTGGGTACTGAAATATTGATTGATTTACCAAACTTGAGTGGCTCCTCTTTCTCTCTCTCCCACCAGGCAAACTTTTATTGTACAACCATAGTTAAAAGCTGTCAGGCAAGAGCAGTCTTTAATTTTTTGTTACTATTTTGAATGTTTCATGTAGGATAAATAAGCATATATACTCATTGAACCTATCAATTTGCATTTTTAATGGATTTGAAACATCCCTTTGATTTATTGTTCCATGGCAGTCTTGATAGGAGCAATTTACAGTTTTTGTTTTGCATTTCTTTTGTTGTTTTTTCATATTTAATATGATCAAGGGATTTTGACAAGTAATTAATCTGAGCATAGCAGTAAAGTTTAGCTTGTACAAACATGAGGGGAGTGAATGAGGCCCACTTCATAAAATGGTTACTCTCAACTATTTCAAACCGCTCCAAGAAATATTTAAACAATTATGTGAACCTACTTTTCAGACAAGCAACTGATCTATAAGAAGCTAATAACAACACATAGTGCTTTGTGTTTAACGAGAGTAATTATTGCTTGGTTACAGCTTTTTATTTCTCTCTCTAGTTTTTTGATTTTAAAACTAAAGTTATTACCCCATGGAGAGCAATAAATTAATAGCACTTGAAAATGAAATCCTCAGAGCGCAGAACAGTCCTGGCAGTAGCAGTAGAAGCTGCTCCACCTAGTTCAACCAGTGTACCTCAAATATGAACTGGTGGGATCTTTTACATTTGAACATTGAGATGGAAGTTTATTTTTTGTGTCCCATTCAATCCTTAGTTTGGTTTTTTGAGGTGTCTACCTGAAGGTGTCAACCTTACCACGGTAGCAGTTGTGATAGGTACACGCTTGCTAGAAATCGGAGCAAGCTTCTTTTCATATAGGCTGCTGAATAGCCATCGTATAGTTAACCTGTTCCCAGTGCGTGGAGCCCTGCGGCTAGGTTGGGATGATCTGGTTGGGGATGGTCCTGCTTTGAGCAGGGCGGTTGGACTAGACCTCCTGAGATCCCTTCCAACCCTAACTTTGTATGACTTTCTGTGATTCTATGGTAGGCGGCAGCCAGGGGTCTGCCCCCCTGCTGCCTGGCCTGGCTAGGTGCAATGTATGTCCAAGTCAGCATTTACACGTGTGTTTAGGTGCAGTCATTTTCGCCACTATAAGATAGTACTGACCCTGACTATTCTATCCTATGGTAATGTTAATTAGCTGTCTGCGGTCTAATAGTGTCACACATGTGTGCTGTGCTTTATACCACAGCAAATTATTCTACTGTTCAGTTAAGCACACTTGTAGATGCACCCAATATGTCCTAATAGGATGTCTGAAAGCAGATCATGGGATGCTGCATCAAACCAGAGTTGCTTCAGGTCTATCATCATGTGGAGTTGGATATGAGCTGGACTTTTCTTTGGATATTTATCCAGATCATAGCAAAAGTCTAAGTGTGAGACTTTTTTTTTTTTTAAATGCAGTTCATTTCTCAGCCCTCACTATGTTAGGCTGATACTAGAAATTTAAATAATATAAAATTCTGATCCACCGTTGATGCCAGAGTTATTGGATTCAATTTTAGTTCTATCCCACAAGACCTGTAGTGAGTTCTCACCCTTTGCCTGTGATGGAATAATCTGTCTCTACATGTAGGGGACAAACTAGTCAGGTGGGTGACATCTGTACCCTTCCCAGCTGAGGGAGTGAGTTAGAACAGCTTCTTCACCTATCTGATGCGACAGACAATTATCTATTGTATTCCCACTCTTCTCATCACCAGCCTAATTTTAAACCAGTTACATTTGAATATAAATTGAGAATTAAAAATGCCACTTTGGAAAATTCTTCAAATACAGATAAGCATTAAAAAGCAAATGTTCCATCTGTTTGCACTTCAGTGCATGTAGCTGGGCTTGTTTTGTAAAGTCAACCCATCGTTCCTGTCATCTGTACTGAGAATGAGGCCCCTCATTCAGTCCCTAAAATTCAGAATTCTGCAAACTTTATCAGCAATTACATTATTTCTCCAACACTGAAGTTTAAAATGATAAAACTTTTTTCTGCATTCACTTGGAAGTTGTCGTAGGGATCTGTGCCTGTAAGAGGCCGTCATGTTAGGAACCAGTTGGTACACTGTTTACTAATCAGTCAGAGCCAAGGAGACTGACAGATCTGCTTCATTCAGTCCATAATGATACCAGTAAAACACAAACCTATTCAGTACCCCAGTGAAAATTTCCAGAACCTGGCATCTAGTTCCATGAGCAGTTCTCTATACACGATAACTATCACTTATCCCTAGTTGAAACCCCTTTGAATATGCCCATTTGCATCTAAATTGCATATGAAGACAAACAAAATCACCAATGTATGTTAAATCCAAGAACAATAATTTTTCAATTTGCAATTCTTATACTAATGTATTGAGTTAAGGCCTTATTTGTAAAGGGATGTTGTGATGGGCCACAGATTCATTGGTTTTAGGGCCTGAAAAGATCATTAGGTCATCTAGTCTGACCATTATGTTCTGCCAAGCTATTACCACTAGAGAAAGTGTTTTCAAGCCATTGCTCCATGTAAATTTTATCTTGCCTTCATTATGTAAGGTAAAATAAGAATATACATATAACTGCACATATTACAATTATGTATGTATATAACTAAGTTGTAATACTTAGTTGAATGACTTCTTTTACTCTAGAACAAAAAAGCTTAACTTGTTAGCCTCATTGTGTGGGTAGTTAGTTTCTCACTTTACAATGGCCTTTACTTCTATCAGATTTTAATTTCATAACAGTGTCTCTGCAAAAGTTTTCAGGGCTGCGAGAAGATTTATCCATGCAGGCCAGCTGATTTAAATAAGAAACTAAATGTAAGAATTATGTGAGAATGTAGTTAACATGGAAAAGCTGTCCTGCTTAGGACAAAAGTGTACGTACTGAACAGGTCTATATAGGAAAGAGCTGAATGAAGAATTCTGTGAGGCTGCTAGTTTCAAATTGTCTCATCTTATGGCTTTTCCTCAGCAAAGCAATTTTGTTAGCTCTGATGGCACAGGTGAGTGAAGACAGATGCAGGGACGTGTTTCAAACAGCAGGCACCAACTTGAGTAAGGTAAGGTACCAGGTAGTTTTCAAGTAGATCTAACACAGGGCTGTGGTTTCACAATCCAGAGGAGTTTCTCCTCAGCCTTGCCAAGATTCAGTGCAGTCCTTAAGTCAGGGGTGGGCAAAATGTGCCCCAGGGGCTGGATGGGGCCCGCCAAGCCATTCTGTCTGGCCTGTGGGGCCCATAAAAAATTTAGAAAATTAATATTTATCTGCCCTGGGCTGCCTGTCATGCGGCTGTCAATGACTTGCCAAAACTCAGTAAACAGCCCTCTGCCCAAAATAATTGCCTGTCCCTGCCTTAAGTCCTTCTGTTTCTGCCCCGTATGAAGGACAGAAGGTGCCAAAAAGCACAACATTCTTGGTCTGCTTAATCTCTGGGAGTTTGTCCTGTGGCTTTTTACAAAT